ACTGCAGTGAATCTTATCTAAGTGAATTCTAATTCTTTATTCCACGATTCTTTGTAAGATGTTAATCCACTGTTGGAAATAGGTAGAATATAAATAAGGAGATAAACATTAGTGTCTCTCACATATTTACTTATATCTAGATTCTTTCTTTAACCACGTCTAACCATTCTCAGAATTGCTTCTGTATTTAACTGAGAGTCTTAACGAGCTCAGATCTGAATGTTACAACTTGGAGGGCCGGGAGTGAGAGAGGTGATGGTTTGGGAATCATCACAGAGTAACACACACAGGATTCTAGCATCAGCTTTCTGTCTCCTTCACGAGATACTGCATCATATTTTGATTACATCAATGAGGCTGGATTATCTCCAAAAAGTGAACTGAGGAAGCTTCTGCAATATCAGACCACAAAGAGAAGGCAGCTGACGGTGCCCGCTCCCTCCGGATGTCTGTGCCCAAAATGCAAATACTGTACCCTAAGGTCCTTTTGTTTGTGTGCGTGGCCCATCTCCTGGGAGAATGGAGGCCACAGCAGCCCATCAGGTAGGCTGACCTTGACCTTAACCAAGCTTTGGGTTTATGGGACAAAGATCCAGCCTCTAACAACCCCAAAATATAGATAGTTCTTTTTTCTTTCTTTGTAAAGATAACTTTTTGGAAAATAGCATTATAAAGCAATTAGAAATAGCGAAAATCCCTTGAGATACTGTCACAATCCTTAACACCCCTTTTCTGTTCACAGACACCCTCCCGGCACCCCTGGTAACATGGTCTCCCCCCATCCCATCCCTCAACAGTGAGGGTAGACGGAGTCAAAGCCTAATGCCTGCCCTTCGTGCGCTTGATTATGCTCTTCAACAAGAACACGGACTTGGGAACTGTGGTCCATTTCCAGTAGTTGTGTGAACTGAAGGCTTGCAAGCTCAGTGACAGGGCAGAGAAGCTGATCTGCAGAATGCATGGTGATCAAATGGGCAAAGCACAGAATGGGTGAGATGGAGACAGAGAGGGACTTGGGCGGGGGTCAGGCACTGTGGAGAGGCTCTGCCAGGCCTCTCACGCGAATCCTGCCTGGGGCCCACATGCTCCTGCACTTGGCTGTCCTAAGGAACAGGAAGCTCCTCATGATACACGCCCTGTTGCTGTCTTATTCCACGTATAGTTGTGTGTGTTTCCTAATGCTATGAGATTAGAGAGAGAATTCAGACAGGGGCTGGATGACAGTTTCAACTGGAGTGTACCATGGTCTGCTTTTATAAATAAGCTGCTGACCACAAGTTGGCTATCATCTCAGAGCACTATAACTATCAGCTCGGAGAAGGAAAATCAGTACTGCAAGAAAACATGCATTCTGGCAGCTATGAGGAAAAAGTAGTAAGGGTGGAAAGTAACCAGGGAAAAAACTGCCAAACGGCTCAAAATTTACCTCTTTTGTTAGGTGTGTGAATCTAAAACTGAACAACCAAATTTCAATTACAGAAAAATACAATCAAAAGGTTAAATTATAATAAATACTGGGCTGCAAATGTTTAGAAATATAAACTCAAAAAATTTAGCTGTGAAAATACATATACAGAGATATATGTATCTACTTATAAAATGGGACAGATACATATATATATACTGGCTGCACACATTACCTGACACTCATATTTATCACTCATAAAGGTAGTTTTTCAGACGTTATCAGCATCTGCACAATAAATCTAAATATGCTGGCTTAACAAATTCTTATATACCAAGGAAAATAAAACTATAATTCTTAAAAGAACAAGTCCTACTTCTTTTAATTCTTGTTAAAGTCATCATATCATGTCATGTCTACCTGAAAACCATAAAATGCCAATTAGTGAATGCAGATAACTGCACTAATGATACTATGATAAAAGCCATGATGATTCAAGGTAAGTATGCAATGAATATAACTTATTATCCTGTAAAGTTTTCTATAACTTAATATAATTTTCTCTTATCAGAAACTGTGTCTCTAGGAATTCAAATAAAACAAAAACAGAAATCATTAACATATTTTCTAATTAAATTATCATAAAAATATGCCATGTTAAAAAAACCCAAAGATTTTAAAAATTAAATATGAGAAGCTAAAGGTAATTTTCTTAATTTAAAACTGTTATTTAAGATAGGCATCCCTCCAACTTAAATATTTTCTTTTTATCTTAAAGCATGGTACAGTTAACAAAGATTCCCATATTTTTTTCACAACAAAGTCCAGGAAGCACACATAGTCCCCGGCAGGATAAATCCAATGAATATGCCGAGACACACAGTAATCGAATTTACAAAAATGAAAGACAAAAAAATATTAAAAGCAACAAGGGAAAAACAACAAATAATATACAAAGGAACTCCCATAAGGTTATCAGCTGAGTTTTAGGAGAAACTCTGCAGGTCAGAAGGGAGTAGCACGATATATTTAAAGTGATGAAAGGGAAGAACCTACAACCAAGAATACTCTACCCAGCAAGGCTCTCATTCAGAGATGACGGAGAAATCAAAGTTTTACAGACAAGCAAAAGGTAAGAGAATTCAGCACCACCAAACCAACTTTGCAACAAATGCTAAAGAACCCTAGGCTGGTAAAGACCAGCAACTTAAAACAACCTTGTACATATATAAACCGCTGTATCAACACCTCATGGGAGCAACAAACCTCAAAATTACAATAGATACACACACACACAAAAGTTAAAGCAACCCAAACACAACACTCAAGATGGTCATCAAGCTAGAAGAGAAGAGAACAAGAGAGGAAGAGAAGGAAAAAGACCTACAAAAATGAACCTGAAATGCTTAATGGCAATAGGGAGACACATATCAATAATTACCTGAACTGTAAATAGACCAAATGGTCCAACCAAAAGACAGGGACTGGCTGAACGCATACAAACACAAGACCTGTATATATGCTATAGACAGGAGACTCACTCACCTCAGACCTAGGGACAGACATAGATTGAAAGTGAGGGGACGGAAGAAGGTATTCCATGCAAATGGAAATAAAAAGGAAGTTGTAGTAGCCATTCTCATAGCAGACAAAACAGACTTTAAAATAAAGTTGTAAGGTTTAAGGTTGTAAAGATTAAAAAAAGGTTAAAGTTGCAAGGTTTAAAAAAGAAAAAGATACTACATAATGATTAAGGGATCAATTCAAGGAGATAAAACAACTGTATACATATATGCACCCAACGCAGGAGCACCTCAATATATAAGGAAAATAGTAACGACTGTGAAGGGAGAAAGCGACAGCAACACAGTAATAGTGGGGACTTCAGCACCCTACTTTCATCAATGGGCAGAACATCCAGGCAGAAAATCAACCTTAAATGACACATTAGACCAGGTGGTATAAAGTATAAATAAAAGCATTTTATCCAAAAGCACATTCTTCTCAAGTGCAGATGCAATGTACTCTATGACTGACCACGTGCTGGGCCACAAGGCAGGCCTTAGGAAAGTTAAGACGACTGAAATCATATCAAGCGTGTTTTCTGATCACAACACTGTTGAGATTAAAAATAAATTACAGGAAAAAACTATAAAAAACACCAACATGTGGAGGCTAAACAATATGCTACTAAACAACCAATGGATCACTAAAGAAATCAAAGAATTCAAAAATCTATCTATCATGCTTTATATATATATATATATATACACACACACACATACACATAAATATACATATGATCTAAGTGCTCGAACATTAAAGCAGTAAACATTTTGGTTAAGTTTTTAAGCTATCAAAGTTTGAGAACAGACAAACGGGAAGTGAACATTCTAATGATAGGAGAAGAATTAAGAAACTGATTGCAAATCCACCATTAATTTACAAGTTTATAAATGTATTCCAGTTAACAGGGAGAACCAGAAAAGGCTCTTCCCCTTGTGAGATAATTATTTCACTGAAAGGCTTGCTTCAGGTCATACAACCAGCATTCACTGCCAATACACTGCAACTGAGCAAGACTAACGTATGAAAATGTAAGCTTAACAGATAAATCATAAGGAAGGCATTTTGTATGTTGTAAAAACAGCCCCTTAAAGCAAAGAACTTTTAAGTTTTTCCAAAATACCTAGAAAAGTATCTGATACATAATAGCTGTTGAATGACTGACCGAACGGGTCTTCTTTACAAGGGCTGAGGTTCTAGAGCACAGCCTCGTGGCCCTTACCCGTTCCTGGAGATGCAGGAACTGCATTGAGTCTGTGCAGCCAGGGAAGCCACCTGCACATGGGAGGGGAGCGCCCATCACGTCGGGCAAGCGGCGTGACCACTCGGCAGTCAGCTTCCCCATGTGTAAACTGGTGGCTGTGATAGATGAAGCTTTGCGGCTGCTTCCAGTTCAATGGTTTCTGAACTTAAATCTACTCACAAACTCCTTTCAAAAGGCAGTTTTCTAAGACCACTTAAAGTATGAGGTGTGTGCAATTTCTGCTTCTTAAAATCCTACAGAAGCACACTTATGATGCAAAATCAGACACACACACACAGCTCTGATCCCAGACACATTCCTACTTTAAGATAGTATGTGAAGTAGCATTAGGTGGAAGCAGAAGCTTTAAACTACTTACAGCAAACAAAACATCTAACTTTAGGAAAAAACAGACATACATTACTCCATGTTCTAATTTCTACAGAGCACTATAGCAGTCAGACCCCAGGCATGAGCTTCACCTTACTGTGTAGTTAAGGAGGCCACCATTAAGCTGCCCCCGCTGCTACGCAACCACACACGGCCCTGTCCCCCCGCTCACCACGAGGCCACGACCCAGTGACGGGCGTGCAGTGGCACCTGGACCCGGGGCTCACAGGCCCCTTGCGCCTGCCCAGACTCCACCTGCTCATACTGACCATCATCAGAGAATTTCTTACCATATGATTAAAAAAAAAAATCAGTGGGTCCAAAATTGTTCCTGAAGAAATCACTGAAATCAACATAATATCCGACTCTGGGAGACAGGAGGGTGAATCCTCTCACCTGGGAAATCTTCCGTCTGGCTAGGTTTCCTCCCCTCTCGCCATGTAACGTGTAAATGGGCGTGTATTGCACCGAACCGGAACAAGTCCCAAAGTCATCCTCGTTTTCCTACATGCAGAGATCCACAAGTGGTTATTCTAAAGTACTCATTTTATTACTAAGGTTTCCTAATTAACAGACAGTATCTGACACAGGTGCAAATAACAAAATTAACACTTGGAGTGTAAGTTTAAAAAGAGCTATTTAGGAAGAAAATGCATTTTTATATATTATGAATTAAAAACTCCTAAAATCTCTGACTTTTTTGAACAATTTGAATAAAGTTTATATGAAGCCCATTCACGCTCCATTACTACAATGGAAGTTTTAAATAGTTTCTTCTCTTCAGAGGTAGAAATTCAAAACATAACTGATAAAATCTTCAAAAATATAATATGTAATCAACTCAGACACATATATACATACCTATACCTATTCACATATATGCAACATTCATAGATTCAAATACACCTCCTTTGTAAATTAAGAACATGCTTCAATTTAAAGTAGCTGCTATTGGAAAGATCTGGTAAAGCCCAGTGAGGACATTTCTGCCTTAATTCTGTACCAGAGATCATCATTAAAAAAAAAAGTCTCAGCTTGAAGCAAGAATTTCAATTTTGATATCAAGGCAATCAACTTTATGAAGACATACATCCTGTTAAAGAACCTTTGAAGCTCTCTGCACCTCTGTGATAAAATATGCAAAGGGTAAAGAGATTGTTCAGGGGGTACGTATAGAATGGCAGATAGCTGCCATGGGGCTTGTTATGAAAAACGCATCCTTGAACAAAGGGCTAAGCACATTTCAAAAGTCATTAAAAACATAAACCCTATGTGATTTGTGCAGGATACACTTCACACTAACACAGGAATCCAGGTGGAATGAGACGCGCTGGACGCACCTTGTGTCTAAGCTTGCTCTTCACCTCCTTTATCCCCTGCTTTGCATGATTCTTGGCCTGGAAAAAGACAACATGGGTGTCTGCTCAGCACAGCTCCATCAAGTTTAAGGGATGAGTGTATGACATCCCACTGAATGAAAATTACTAACTTGTCATGTTACACAGAAAAAGGAGAACCTGTCATCTAAAACTCTGTTTTCAGGGATCTGTTCCACCCACTACTACACCTGAATGAGGTGGGGAAAGCATTAGTCTCTGTTTGCACATGGGATCATCCGAAGGCTAGCAGTTAGCCTATTTTGCCTCCAAGGCTATAAAAACACCAGAGACTACCAAATGGCCATTGCCTAGCCATAATCTGGCCTGACAAATGGGGAAGGAAAAGAGAAAGCACATCACAGCAGCGGGTTATTTTTGGGCAAACGTTTAGACTTTAAGAAATTCCTGCAATGATGCAGGAGACCCAGGTTGGATCCCTGGGTTGGGAAGATACCCTGGAGAAGGAAATGGCAACCCACTCCAGCATTCTTGCCTTGGAAATCCCATGGACAGAGGAGCCTGGTGGGCTGCAGTCCATAGGGTCACAAAGCAAGTTTTACTGAATCTCAATCAGCTCCTAAGAGTCTCCTACAGAGACAAAGGCACAGTCACAAGTGCTGAAACAGAGGGAGGCCCACAGGCCCCGTGGAAGCACAGAAAAGGTAGAGAAGCCTTGTGGTGGGGCTGAGGAACTTTTTTTGATGAGAACTAATGTCAAAAATGACAGAATGATCTCTGTTCATTTCCAAGGCAAACCATTCAATATCACGGTAATCCAAGCCTATGCTCCAACCAGTAACACTGAAGAAGCTGAAGTTGAACAGTTCTATGAAGACCTACAAGACCTTTTAGAACTAACACCCAAAAAAGATGTCCTTTTCATTACAGGGGACTGGAATGCAAAAGTAGGAAGTCAAGAAACACCTGGAGTAACAGGCAAATTTGGCCTTGGAGTATGGAATGAAGCAGGGCAAAGGCTAATAGAGTTTTGCCAAGAGAACGCACTGCTCATAGCAAACACCCTCTTCCAACAACACAAGAGAAGACTCTACACATGGACATCACCAGATGGTCAACACTGAAATCAGATTGATTATATTCTTTGCAGCCAAAGATGGAGAAGCTCTACACAGTCAGCAAAAACAAGACTGGGAGCGGACTGTGGCTCAGATCATGAACTCCTTATTACCAAATTCAGACTTAAACTGAAGAAAGTAGGGAAAAGCACTAGACCACTCAGGTATGACCTAAATCAAATCCCTTATGCCTGTACAGTGGAAGTGAGAAATAGATTTAAGGGACTAGATCTGATAGACAGAGAGCCTGACGAACTATGGAAGGAGGTTCATGACATTGTACAGGAGACAGGGATCAAGACCATCCCCATGGAAAAGAAATGCAAAAGGCAAAATGGTTGTCTGAGGAGGCCTTACAAATAGCTGTGAAACAAAGAGAAGTGAAAAGCAAAGGAGAAAAGGAAAGATATTGCCATTTGAATGCAGAGTTCCAAAGAAGAGCAAGGCCTATATAGAATAAGAAAGCCTTCCTCACTGATCAATGTATAGAAATAGGGGAAAACAACAGAAATGGGAAAGACTAGAGATCTCTTCAAGAAAATTAGAGATACCAAGGGAACATTTCATGCAAAGATGGGTTCGATAAAGGACAGAAATGGTATGGACCTAACAGAAGCAGAAGATATTAAGAAGAGGTGGCAAGAATACACAGAAGAACTGTACAAAAAAGATCTTCACGACCCAGATAATCACAATGATGTGCTCACTCACCTAGAGCCAGACATTCTGGAATGTGAAGTCACGTGGGCCTTAGAAAGCATCACTATGAACAAAGCTAGTGGAGGTGATGGAATTCCAGTTGAGCTATTTCAAATCCTGAAAGATGATGCTGTGAAAGTGCTGCACTCAATATGCCAGCAAATTTGAAAAACTCAGCAGTGGCCACAGCACTGGAAAAGGTCAGTTTTCATTACAATGCCAAAGAAAAACAATGCCAAAGAATGCTCAAACTACTGCACAATTGCACTCATCTCACACGCTAGTAAAGTAATGCTCAAAATTCTCCAAGCCAGGCTTCAACAATACATGAACCGAGAACTTCCAGATGTTCAAGCTGGTTTTAGACAAGGCAGAGGAACCAGAGATCAACTTGCCAACATCCGCTGGATCATCTAAAAAGCAAGAGATTTCCAGAAAAACATCTATTTCTGCTTTAGTGCCTATGCCAAAACCTTTGACTGTGTGGGATCACAATAAACTGTGGAAAATTCTGAAAGAAATGGGAATACCAGACCACCTGATCTGCCTCTTGAGAAACCTGTATGCAGGTCAGGAAGCAACAATTAGAACTGGACATGGAACAACAGACTGGTTCCAAATAGGAAAAGGAGTACGCCAAGGCTGTATATTGTCACCCTGTTTATTTAACTTATATGCAAAGTACATCATGAGAAACGCTGGGCTGGAAGAAGTACAAGCTGGAATCAAGACTGTCTGGAGAAATATCAATAACCTCAGATATGCAGATGACACCACCATTATGGCAGAGAGTAAAGAGGAACTAAAAAGCCTCTTGATGACAGTGAAAGAGGAGAGTGAAAAAGTTGGCTTAAAGCTTAACATTCAGAAAACTAAGATCATGGCATCTGGACCCATCACCTCATGGGAAATAGATGGGGAGACAGTGGAAACAGTGTCAGACTTTATTTTTTGGGGCTCCAAAATCACTGTGGATGGTGACTGCAGCCATGAAATTAAAAGACGCTTACTCCTTGGAAGAAAAGTTATGACCAACCTGGATAGAATATTAAAAAGCAGAGACACTACTTTGCCAACAAAGGTCTGTCTGGTCAAGGCTATGGTTTTTCCAGTGGTCATGTATGGATGTGAGAGTTGGACTGTGAAGAAAGCTGAGTGCCGAAGAATTGATGCTTTTGAACTGTGGTGTTGGAGAAGACTCTTGACAGTCCCCTGGACTGCAAGGAGATCCAACCAGTCCATCCTGAAGGAGATCAGTCCTGGGTGTTCATTGGAAGGACTGATGCTGAAGCTGAAACTCCAATACTCTGGCCACCTCATGCGAAGAGCTGACGCATTGGGAAAGACCCTGATGCTGGGAGGGATTGGGGGCAGGAGGAGAAGGGGATGACAGAGGATGACATGGCTGGATGGCATCACCGACTCGATGGGCATGAGTTTGAGTAAACTCTGGGAGTTGGTGATGGACAGGGAGGCCTGGCGTGCTATGATTCATGGGGTCACAAAGAGTCGGACACAACTGAGCGACTGAACTGAACTGACTGAATGTCTAATCTAAAATAAACCTGTAGGATGATTTAGTAGGTGGACAGAAGCCAAGGAAAGGACGTCCTGGGCAGCAGGGATGGATTGTGAAGGATGAAGACACAGAAGAGAACGTCCTGCACCCGTGGAACAAGAAGGATCTCAGACCTGGAGACACCAGGGCTGGGGGCCTCAGGGAAATGATCCAGGATGGGAGGGGCCAGGTCTGAAGGGTCTCGGGGATCAGAGCAGAGAGACTTCCACTTTGTTAATTATTTACTTGCTGTGGTAGCTCCTGGTGTTGTTATTGTTTTACTATAAGCCATGAGATATCAATGAGGAGTTTTAACTTTGGAAAGTCAAAGGACGACCTTTGAGGCAAGAGAGCTTGTCATATTTTTAAAAAAATTTTTCTAGTTAAGCCTCAAGTACACAATGAGAATTTAAAGTATGCTGCTAAATAAAAGAAACAAATCTTTAAAACTGTCACTTCATCGTGGACTGTTTCAATCTGAGGGCACAATTTTGCTGACAGCTTTGAAATAAAAGAACAATTTTTAAAGTATATAAAAGAAACACCCTGCCTAGACAATGATACAATTTTAATAACTGAGTTTGCTTAGGTCAATATTAACTCTAAATTTATGTAAAGGAAAACAGAAAATATTCTAGATTTACGTGTGTATCATCTAGGAAAATGTTATAAAATTTTATCAACAGAATTTTTAAACATCAAAAGAGCACTTACAAATTTATACGCTGTTCGCACAGCAGGGCTTGCTTTGGTCACTGCTGTGTTAAATAGTGCGCCTCCTTTCTGCAAGGGAAAAACAGAAACGTGTTCCTAAAAATTTGGGGCCCGACTGTCCTGAGAACAAAGCATTATTGATAATATAGAATTAAGAGCTTTTCTCATAGCTTAAAGAAAGACTTAAGAAAGACTTACAAAATTATGTCATGTTAAATGTTTTCAAGCTTTTATATATGCTATAGTAACTCCATACAAAATGTAAACATTCTCCTCCATTCTTTTAATTGGTGTAACACAATCCTTTCATCTTTGTGGTTTAGGCAGATGTAGGCAATGTGACCAGTATGTATACATATATATAAAGCTTAATAAAAAATAAATACAACCAACTGTTTCTCAAATGTTTTAGTGTTCAGCAATAAAGTTGCAATCTGCGAAAGAGAGTTATGTTTTAAAAAAATCATGTTAACAAAAGTACATTACCAGAAATGATAACATTCCCATCAAGCCCTACCACTCCATCTAACTCCATCTTCCGGAATATGTTATAAGATGACAGCAAAATCATGCTTTTCAAATCAAGCCATTTATCTTGAAAAATATAAAGACAAAAGCTTTTCATTTAAAAATTTTCTTTACAAATAGCAACAAACTATAAGCATAAAATAAAAATGTTAAAGTGTGAGAAAATATAGACACATTTAAAATACTGCCCATAAACAGCATAGATATAAACAGCAGACCTGAACTGAACATTTTCCCATATCGTTAAAGTGAAAGAAAAAAAAAAAGAAGCTGTGAAGGTTTATTAGTACCTTGACTGTATGCACCCATTGCTGATATGACTTTGAGTTCCCTGGAATGTATAAAAATAAGATGTCAGGAATATCTGATCAAAAATAAATCCATAAACCAATATGCACCAAGAACTAGTTATTTCCAAGATTTTAGCAGGCAAATTTTATTTATCTGCAATGTTGTAAAAGAAGCAATTCATTGTAAGAACTATTAATAAATGCTCTAATTCTTAGGAACATAGTAACTAGCATTTTTAAGACTAGATACTTTTTCTTTACTCACATAAGAAGATAATATGTTAAAGCATTCTTTCATTATAATACTTTCAGACGGGGAAAAAAAGTAACATTTTGATATCCAAAATTCCTATGTCTTTTAAACTGATTTTTCAATATTTATGTCTATCGTGTTTTGTAAAAGTCTGGCTCTGTTACACAATTAGGGTTATCTTAAAATAATATGTAAAGTACATAAGGAAAGGAAAAAACTAGAAGGAAATTTAGAAATATAAAGAATCTTGAGGACAAAAAAGATTCTTCTACAGTTGTTAGACATCAGTATTAACTGATAGCAAATTTTACTTTATTTCAATTAACCTGCAGAATGTTCTGAAAATACTCCTAGTTGTAAATCCAAATCAGAAAGGTATTACCCAAGGAGATATGGCAGTAGCTCCTCATGGCTATTAGAAAGTTCAAATGCCGGCAAGACCAGTTCAGTAAAACTGGCAATCATATACATTTGGCTCCAAATATGCTAATTCATTTAATCAATAAGATGATATAAGAAGGCAAAAGAAGGCCACACAACTAGTCTAAAGTAACATTTGTATCAACTGACTTCAGTCAGATTTCCTCTACCTTCCTGGTTGTTTAAACCTTAAATACTCCGACAAGAAAAAACAAAGTTCCAAAGGCTACTCAGAGACTGACCGCCCGGCACAAAGGCGCCCAAAGCGGACTGCTCCTGTGTGCGGTTTTGGCTTCTTAAGAAACACGCCACCCTGCTGTTACAACACAGAGGTAGAGGGCCCTTGGGCCGAGTATCTTCCCAACGGGTATCTCTGCACCCCTAACCAGCATCAGGCCAAAAACCTCCAGCTCTGGATTCAATCTTGAACTTAACGTCTCTCCCTAATTTCAAAGAAATATCAAGAAACAACTTCTGAAAAATGTCTCTCACTCTATTCTTTCAGAAAAGGTACAGCACTGCACTGCACCTTTTCTGGAAAAATAATTATGGGGAAAATAATATTTTTCTAACCTTGTGAAATGATTATAGCAAAATGTATCTATCTAAAATAGACCATATAAAAACAATCTGCAGTGCTTGAAGGGCATGAGTTTCAGATGGTATATGGCCTGACCAAAAAAACTTTAAGCTTTCCCTTATAAAATGATGAAAAAAATCCCAATTATTCTATTCAGTAATATCCCAAGGGGATTCTATCAACAACAGAAAATAAACATTATGTCTTTATCCAGATTATTCATACAGATTTTCTTCTCTAGTCAAAGTTCTCATCAGTTCATACACTTTTTACTTCTCTACTAAAAATGGTTGTGTAGAAATCACATATTTATAACTTGGTTACTATTCATGGTATTCTGGAAAGTGTTTTATTGCATTTCCCAAAATGAATTTAAGAAAATGGAGAGAAAAACACCAACTACTCTGTGATAACTATTTAGCATCCTGGAACACGTGTCACAGAAGAAAACGTGTTTTTAAACCTCTGAACCAGAAAGAAAATAACTGCCGTAAAACCTCAGAGTAGTTACAGAAAGGTCAGTGTCTCCAGCGACAGTCGTGAGGAGTAAAAGCTCATCTTCAGCCCTTCCTAGGTTGTTAAACGTTTTTATCTACGTTACGCCTCTTGAGTCGCACCCTTCTACTAAGAAACAGGCAAAGCGGGTGGACAAGGGGGCAGGGAACTTGGGGCCAGCGGGCCAGAGTCAGGCCAGCCTGCCCTGGGGACCGAGCGCCGGACCGGTCTGGCGCCTGGCAGCTGCCACGCAAGGCGCGACCCCAGCACGCGGCAGCAGGCCCGACGTCGCCTGGCGGGGACACTGGCGCTCTAAGGCGATCATCTGCCCGCGCTCACAAGGACGGCCGCCGAGGAGAATCTCGGTGTTTAATTCTCGGGTCATCAGTCCTTCAGCTTTCGGGGTTGCTAAATACAATATAAGGGAAATCACACAGAGCTTTCCTCCGCGTCACTTCAGAAACGGCTACACTAGAAAGGGCAGGGGGCCGCTCAGAGCCGCCCTGAGGAGAAACGGCTGAGAGAGAGCCACTCAGAATAGCAACGTGGAATCACGGGCTCCGCACAAACAGGAAGTCCCTGAAGAAGCAGCTTAAGGTAACAGGAAAGCAGGTGGTACAAAACTTAGATAGATTCCTGTCAGAAAATATTTTAAAAGGCTAATTGTCTCTCTTAATTCTAGTGCTTTTAAGAGTGAAGACACCTATTTCCATAAAATCTGTGAGACAAGCACTCTATTCTCTGATAATGCGTGTTTTAAAAGGCTAATTTTCTTCTCAAAAAATAAATCTGAAAGCTGGGGAAAAACACACACACACACCAAAAAACCTTAGTGTTTCTTTCAAAGTAACTGGATTGTAGAAATAGTAAGCATTATTGAGGAAATTCTTAACATTGTTCTTGTTAATCAAACAAGTGATTCTCTCACATTCAAGGACAAAATATCTTGGTTTCGCACTTGTGCAGTCTTTCTTGTCAAATATATTAAATTCCAGTAATCTGTTACTTATCAAAAAATGTAAATTGGTCTAAATTGTTCAGTGAGGCCAGAAAAACACCACTGAAACTAATGATTACTACCACCCCTTCGGATTCCTTTGGTTACCAGTCAGCAAAGAAAGAAACAGGATTAAATAAACACAAGACTGAAGAGACTCTGCTGGGGAACTAATGAAGAAACAAACGCTATTGATGGGGAGAGTGACCACACACTCCATATAAAATCAACCTGAAAATGCGTCTGCTTTTTAAAGTTTAGAAAACTAGACGTGGATTTTTAATATCTATTTTTTTCATTGATTTTAAATGAAAAAAATTAAGGTCCAAACTACTAGGTATAAAATAAAATACAGTATAATGTACAGTTAATATCTTACAATAACTTTGAAAGTGAGAAAATGTTAGTTTCTAAGTCGCATCTGACTCTTTGTGACCCCAAAGAGTCTCTGGACTGTAGCCCACCAGGCTCCTCTGTCCATGGAATTCTCCAGGCAAGAATAATGGAGTGGGTTGCCATTCCCTTCTCCAAGGGATCTTCCCAAACCTGGGATCGAACCAGGGTGCCCTGCATTGTAGGCAGATTCTTTACCGTCTGAACCACCAGGGAAACCCCAAAAGGGTACAGAGGTTTTTTTCCTTATTCTGACCAAGCAGTGAGGCTTGTGGGATCTTAGTTCCCAAACTAGGGATCAAGCCCGTGACTCTGGGAGTGAAAAGGTCGAGTCCTAACTAGGCTGCCAGGGAATTCACTGATAATAACTTTAAATGGAGTATAATCTATAAAAATACAGAATCACTATGTTACATACCTCAAACTAATACAACATTGTAAATCAATTTTTAAAATTATGGGGGGAAAAATAAACATGTTCTTGACTCAGTATTCCTGAGCTGCTTTTCACAGACTGGTATTTGTGTTTATCTATGGCTCCTTTGTCCTACTTGTGGCCTCTATGATGACCTTTTAACCCCATGACATTCTTCTCTTCACATATTTCCGGATATTCTCTTCCCTTTCTTCTCAGGAGAAGGCTGAGTGTTCTACAAGGGTCCCACAAAAGGGACCAGGAGTAACATGGATTTCCTGAATAGTTTTGACCAGAGGGGTTCATGGGACAGAGAACAGTTTTGGAAAATCTCCATGCGTTCATGGCCCTTAACTGCAGTTCTAGACTCAGTGTGAACGGACGTGTTCTGTGTGGGACTGCCCTGCTATTTCAGCCAGAGCCACAGTGATGCCAGGGCTCCACCACACTCATATTCACGCTATCACGACCATGCACGTTAGCAACAAAAACAGTACATAAACCGCCACATTAATGGCCTAGATGAGGGAGAAATGAGATGCTTGTCTAAAGTTTCGCAGTTATTTTTGCTTAGAGAAACATAATGATTCCTTCAACTCCAGCGACTGTTGATTTCTCCTATAGTGATCTTCCTGAGGGTTTTATATTTATATATATATATATATATAAAATCTTCAAAGGATAATCAAAAGAGACAGGAATTTTGCTTTTATCCATCAGAGCAGAGAAGCCCTGAGTACTGCTCTTGTTTACTAAAGGCCTTCTAATTAAAATGATCTCTTATCATAAGAAGGCATATATCACAGTTATTAAAGCGAGAGCTTTGAAGCCAGGCAGTCACGTGTGACCTTGGGCAAATTACCGAGGTGGGTGCCCTCAGTAAAATAAGGATGCTCAAAGTCCTTCCCAGGGTGCTGGGAGGGTTAAGTGAGATAATATTTGGAGAGCTCTTAGAAGAGCTTCTGCCTCATACTAATTCAGGAAGCGTGAACATTAATCATCATTTCCATTGTAACTAGGAGAGAAATGAGAAAGCTACAACAGTTTACTTTTTGAAGAGCAGTTCACTACCTCAGACCTATTCTTTCTCACAAAAGCAGTCCAGATAAAAAAATGTTTCAGCTGACTTCTAGGAACTATTTTTAGGAACTTTATATACACATATATCTCATTAGTAAGAACACTGCTAATTTTTATTAATTATTAAAATTATTAAATTATTAAATAATAAAATTATTAAAATTATTAAATAATAAAATTATTAAATTATAAAATTAAATCTTAATGATTTTGCTTTAATTTCCTTTAAGATGAATGTCTATGTCTCTCTAAGATAATAACCTAAAATGTAACAATTAGAAAAATCTCACGATCACCAGGCATAATTTTTTCAATGTACTTTCTTGCTATACATACTGAAATGTTGCTATTGATTTTTACTTGCTCAGTCCTGTCTGACTCTTTGTGACCCCATGGACTGTAGCCTGCCAGGCTCCTCTGTCCATGGGATTCTCCAGGCAAGAATACTGGAGTGAGTTGCTATTTTCTTCTCCAGGGTAAACTTCCTGACCCAGGGGTTGAACCCAGGTCTCCTGCATTACAAGTATATTCTTTACCACTAGCCACTGGGGAAGCCCCAAACTTACTAAAATGAATGCTTTCCTTTTGGATCAGTACTGGCTCCCCAAAAGTAAAAGAAGTGTTCAAAACCTTTTTTTTTTAAGAAAGAACAACAAAGTAGCTGGCATTAAGTTGTACTAAAAGTGCAGCAGTCTCTAAATCAGCTGCTAACTGGTGATAAACATTCTTCTATTCTTCTTTAAACAGTAGGACCTTTCATGAAAAAATCTGGTGACCCTCCTCCCACCATAAAAGCCACCTAGGCTCTCCTCTGTGACTGAGGTCTGCGGACCAAGGGTGCAGACTACAGAATTTCACTACACAAAAGATCTTAGTTCCACCCCATTACTGTCACACAGTGTCATCCCCAATTCCACACGGGATGCCAGCCCCACGGGTCAGAACGATAATGAGATCGCAGTTATGTAAATACTCAGGAGGCGCCGCAAGCAATTTGTCCACAAGCTGACAATATTCTGCTTGTCTGAGGTGAAAAGTAAAAAAGCCTTATTTTAACACAAAAGTTCCATTGAAGCTACATTTTCTGCTGTGAGCTGAGGAAAGCAAGGGGCTTCTGAAAGACTGAACGTTCAGCTCACTTGCTAGGTCAAGGAAACGAAGTTTTCCCCCAAGCTGGAAGCGTTCCATGAAACGCAACCCTGCTTGCATCAGAGGGAGGTCCAGAGTCACTCAGATCTCCTGTACCTCTTTCAGTGAACAATTGATCGCAACAGTTTTTGTATTTTTGTGGTGCAAAAGTAAATTTTATTTAAGATTAAACTTAAATTTTGGGAGCTTTGTAGATAAGTACTAATTATTCTTTGTCTTTTCACCTTTTATTCCTCAATTCTAAAAACTATTTACTTACACACAGATTAAAGATTTCCTTCCCCCTGAATTAAACCTATAGATAACTTGGGGGTGGGGGATGGGGGGTGGGGAAGCACTATTACCACCAGCTGAAAATGAACACACTGGGGATTATTCATTCAGTTCGTCCCAAATCTAGAAAAGCATCTGGTACATAGGAAACACTCAGCAAATACTGGCTGAAGGAATGAAGAGGACACTTTTAAGGTTTCAAGCAAAACTGTCTGCCAGAGTCAGGACTAAGTACTAGATCACCAAGTACAGAGTCAGGACTAGGTACTGGATCATGAAGTATAGAGTCAGGACTAGGTGCCGGATCACCAAGTACAGAGTCAGAGTCAGGACTAGGTACTGGATCATGAAGTACAGAGTCAGGACTAGGTGCCAGATCACCAAGTACAGCGTCAGGACTAGGTGCCAGATCACCAAGTACAGCATCAGGACTAGGTGCCGGATCACCAAGTACAGAGTCAGGACTAGGTGCCGGATCACCAAGTACAGCATCAGGACTAGATGCCGAATCACTAAGTACAGAGTCGGAGTCAGGAATAGGTACTGGATCATGAAGTACAGAGTCAGGACTAGGTGCCGGATCACCAAGTACAGCATCAGGACTAGGTGACGGATCACCAAGTACAGAGTCAGAGTCAGGACTAGGTACTGGATCATGAAGTACAGAGTCAGGACTAGGTACCGGATCATCATGGACAGAGTACCCATTCCTAATTCATTCATTTCCTAGATACTACAAAACAGTTTCAATTACTGACATTTCAAACAATGTAACTGCTCAATTATATTACAGTTAATTATATTAAATAAAAGTGGGATGTCACTAATGTGTGTCACACATACAAAATGAGACGCCTCCTTCCACTGCTTTAAGTGAGCACTTATCACACTGACAAGTGTAAGAACATGGGACAGTAAACTGAAAAGTCTGTTCCTAATGCTGCAGGGGGCTGCAAAGCACAACAGCAACATAGACTCCTATAAAGACACTCTTACTTAAAAATGTCCCAACAGTTGTCACGTTCAGACCTGTCTTTCTGGATTACGTTAAAAGCTACTACGTGGACCACAATCTGAGTTCTCTAATTCTTACTCGAGTAGTATTGATAAATATCACCAGTATTTCTCTAGCAGAGAAAATCAGTCAGGAGGAACCAACTAACTGCATTTCTGTGACATTTTCTCCAGTCTTATTAAGAGACTATCCAAGCAAACCATTGCCAGCTCATGAGACCATCTGAATACCTAGCATAACATATCAGGCAAAATAAGTCAACACTATAGTTCTTTATAAGATGAACAAATGTATCAAAGATATCAGATATTTATGAGAAAATGGTAGTTTACAAAGTAGACATGTGACACAGGTGCAAAAATCATAGATAATTGTTATTCATAAAACGGATAATCACATTGGAACTAGTCTTTACCTCCACAAAAGCCGCCAGAAGTGATCTCTTCTTCAAATGCATCAGAGAAACCCTTTCCTGCATTTAGTTTTGCCAGTCGACCATCGATAAACTGAAATCAAAACATGTCAAATGTGTTAACTGTCATTTACTTCATAAGATTAGATTTTTACTTACACCAAAAGTACTAATAGCAGACATTCAGGTATACATATATGTGTATAAACACAGATACACAACAAGAAAACGCAACCACTGAGATGGCAGGTGGACCATAAATAGCAGCTAGTTAGACAAATGTACAGCACAGCCTAACTCCATTAATAAATAAAACAGTGTGGACAGAAAGACCACAGCCCCTTGGAGGGTCTGCACAAGGCTGCCACCAGCCGAGCCTTGCCCTGGGGGGCTGAATCCACCCCCCGGCCTCAGGGTTCTCAGTATTTGCTTCAGGACACGGCTGCACACGTTAAATTAACACAGGTTTATTAACACAGGAAGCATCCAAGAAATGTTAGATGTTACTACTTAGAGGTTAATATTAACTTCATCCAGTAAAATAAAACACTCTAGATCTAATCTGCTAGTCCTCAAGGGTAAGAGCACCAGATAGTTCTAAGCACTTAATAATAAAACAAATATAACTTCACAATTCCCAACAAATGTGTTGACCAAATGATCAAAACCATGGTTACGAAGATGAATAAAATTCAGGTAAATTCATGTTGACTTACACGTGGTCACCTTAAACAATATTTCTCACTATTCTGAAAGGAGAGACGGGGGTGGGAACCTGATGCTCAAAAGTACCCAGAGATCCGCTTCAAAACACAGCACACCATCTGCTCTGCTCCGTCTCCACCCTGCTCCTTACACATGCAGCAAAGCGGTGTGTTTATGCCAGCTCCAGGCATAAACCAGTGACACGCTTTACACACACATGTATCACTGGCACGTGGTTAGTTTTATATTGTTGGTCTGTGGCACCAGACGCATGTGTTGCTTAATTATGAAAAATATTATAAATGTTTTGTGGTTTCTCCACTCATGATGATGGTGAATTGTCTTTAAGGCTCCGCTGCATGAGAACCAAAGGCTACCATAAGAAAGACTTCAATGATGTCTGAAGAACAGATTTGAGGATCTGAGGATTAACATAAGATGTTCCTCTTCATCTTAAGAGAATTAATTAATCCTGGCCATGATTTTTTCACCCTATAAATTTGAAGTTTAGATAACATAAGAGACCTTGACTTCTAAAAACCTCTCATGGTCTGCCCTGGTTTTCTGGTTAAATGGTTCAAAGACAAAACTAACCAAGAGGAGGGGTGAGGTCAGTGTCATTCCAGGCAGAGACTGGGGACCACTAACAGCACGTCAGTGGGTAAGACGCTGAGATAGAAATCTCTCACAGACCCAAATTAGGAAAGAATGGCCGATGAACCAACAGGTTCCTGTTCAAAATGACGTTTAACTGCCTTATTACTGTACAATGGTTTTGACCAAAAACGTGGTAAAATGAGTTTAAATGGACATAACCTAAAAAGACACGGCCATGGCATTTTTGCCAAGAGTATGAGCTGCTCTCATAAAAACGAGAACTGAGAGCAGGGCCTGTAGATAACCCATTTAACACCCGCATTATGCCTGGCGCGGAGGAGGTACCAAGACGACAAACCAAAGTGAACGTGGAGTCTGGGGTCTGAGTGCTTGCCTCTCACTGCCACTCATTAGCTTTATGATCTCAGGCAGCCTGCTGTCTCTGAGACTGTCTCCCCTTCTGTAAAATGGGAATAACAACACAGAAACGTCTGATGGGGTTTTGTGAGAGTTAGTTACCAACGGGGAAAGGTGAGGGATAAATCAGGAATTTGGGATTAACAGATACACACTACTATACATAACATAAATAAACAAGGACCTACTGTATAGCGCAGGGAACTCTACTCAATATTGTGTAATAAACCTATATGGAAAAAGAATCTGAAAGAGTAGACACATAACTGAACTGCAGTGCTATACACCTGAAACTAACACAACACTCTGTATCAACTATACTCTTCCAAACTTAAACGGTCCCATCGAGTGCCCGTGGTGCAGGCACAGAGCAGACGGTAAATACTCGAGTCCACTTTCCCCAACTCCACCCTTCCCATCTCTGTCAACTCCCGCGCTTCCTGAGAAGGGATCACGGCCCCTTGGGTAGAGGCAGCTTTAGTGCCCAACACGTAACTGGAAATAGATGCTTACCGAGGAACAAAACACACAGAAATGATCCTAAAGCACATACACTTCACGTGCTTTAAGAGTTAAATAACTATAATGTGTGGAATTACTCATTTAATCTGTGCTAAAAGGCAGTAGCTTACAATCCTGGGTGTCTTTGCCACTACATACAATAAACAGTTAATTTGAAACTAATGTAGTTTAAAATGCCTGCAGAATTTGACTTACACACATTTTCAACACAGTATGATAAATCAAACTAAAGTGATCTAATGTGATGGATTTTGAAAAAATAAGGTGAAGCACGATGATAAATTTAAAGTAATACATTACTGACAAATGGAACAAACTAAGACATCCTTTTAAAGGACTTAATTTGCCTTAAAAGATTAAGACTACAAGACTTTTTAAAAGGTTTTCATTTTTGTGTTTACTGGAAATAATCCATTCATTTTAGTTTGAGTGGAACAGTTCAAGTCTAAAAAGAGATAAATCTCAAAACTATTTACTGATGATGCATTTTTGAGCATGACTAATTACTTTGTGTTACTAAACTAGTGATTTGAGCCAATAGAAATTCACCACTTGGTAAAATGCCCCATGTTATCACTGACTTTGCAAACAATCCTCTTAGTGACTGACACTTATCAACATACACATTTAATGAAAATGTTCTTAAAAGGTTGATTGTATGCATACACACATATACATATTACACACACACACACCAACGCAGACCCCCAGGAATAACTGAAAAGAGATATTAATGGAGAGGAATGCTGAACCTAACAGTTCTCTAAGCTCCTTTTTCTATTTTTGATTCAGCAACAGCTTTTTTTTGTTTCCCAAGTGGGGTTGGTTCATGGTCACACGACTTTTATAACTCCGGAGCATTTCATAGGAGGTGAAAACAGTAGCTACCGTTGTAGACAGATGATTTTAAACTAAACAGTATTACTTGCTGGAAAAGCAAAGGCTACATAACACACATGATTTAGCAAACATGTATTCAAGACATACATTTTGGTAGAATTAGCCAAGAATGGCGAGTAATAACAAGTAAAACTGTAAATAACAATGGAGGTACTTCAGATATAAGATAAAACTAGGTTACAAGTAGGTTCTTAAAAGAATGCATGAGCATGCTTTAAGATAATGCTTTTTACATAAATCTTAATATTTTGCTTTTTATTCCAAAAGCAAAAATTAAAACCTGGAAATAAACATGCTAAATAACCACACAAAACTTAAAAATTATAACTAGAAATCTCAAAAAACTTCACAGGCCTAATTCCACAGTATATATTCCATAATTTAATTATGAAAAATAGCTAAAATTTATTTAAGAAGAATAAATATATTCCTTAAAATCAATAACATCATTCCCTCTAAGTCATCAACAATTACAAGAAGTGGATCTGGTTAATCCTTAGGATGTGATTTTAAGATGGTATAACAGGTTACAAGATGAGTGTAATTAAGCAGCAAAACTGCTTCCTGCTGCCTCTTTTTGATACTGACATCACTAAGGTTTTCTGAAGTGCCTTTATCTTCAAATAACTATCTGAATAGGAGATTGAGTGAACCTAAAGAAACTACATGCTGTTATAAATGCACTTCAGTATGCACTACATTTCTAATGGAAATGAACACGCACCACTTCAACTTTTAAAACACATATAAAAGGAACATTATAAAAATAAAAACATAAAGGACACACTTGGATGGCAAGCTTCTTTACAAAAAAACATAAAAAATATGTTCTGATCAGATTCACAGGTTAAACCTGAACAGTAGGCCAGTGGACCACGGGGAATGTGTTTTTCCTCTGAGAGACAAAGTATATGTTTCTCTTAATACTTCGATAACTTCACCACTCAGCCCATTTCTGGCATTTAATCCCAAAATCCAAAACAAGTTGCGCTACTAATCTGTGTTCTAATGACTTCACTGGTTCAGACATAGGTCCTATAAATATCTAATTGCAATCAATACATCAAATCTCTGAGGATGACAGTGATTAAATTTCAAGATTCTTCTATCATTTTAAGAGAAATACGTCATTTTTCAGTTAAAATCTCATAAGAAGTTTGTCCTGGAGAGAGGGGGCCAAACGAGGAGGGGGGAGCATTGACTTCAATGCCAATGTGACAGTCTGGTCCCTGAAGCGAAGTAGCAGGGTCATGTATGCACACAGCACGCAAATCTGCACACCCACAAGAGCCTCTTGATGAGAGTGAAAGAGGAGAGTGAAAAAGCTGGCTTAAAACTCAGCATTCAGAAAACTAAGATCATGGCATCTGGCCCCATCACTTCATGGCAAATAGATGGGGAAACAATGGAAACAGTGACAGACTATTTTCTTGGGCTCCAAAATCACTGTAGATGGTGACTGCAGCCATGAAATTAAACAATGCTTGCTCCTTGGAAGAAAAGCTATGACCAACCTAGACAGCATATTAAAAAGCAAAGACCATTACTTTGCCAACAAAGGTCCATCTAGTCAAAGCTATGGTTTTTCCAGTAGTCATGTATGGATGTGAGAGCTGGACCATAAAGAAAGCTGAGCACTGAAGAATTGATGCTTTTGAATTGTGGTGTTGGAGAAGACTCTTGAGAGACCCTTAGACTGCAAGGAGATCCAACCAGTCCATCCTAAAGAAATCAGTCCTGAATATTCATTGGAAGGACTGATGCTGAAGTTCCAATACTTTGGCCACCTGATGCAAAGAACTGACTCATTTGAAAAGACCCTGATGCTTGCAAAGATTGAAAGGGGAGGAGAAGGGGACAACAGAGGATGAGATGGTTAGATGGCATCACCGACTCGATGGACATGAGTTTGAGCAAGCTCCAGGAGCTGGTGATGGACAGGGAAGCCTGGTG